CAGAGTTAAACAAAAGACACACACTCCTTACTAAACTGGTTAATTGATTAATATGACTGGTCCTTAAACTTTTGTAAATAAACTCTTGAGCAGCCTGAGAGAAGTTATGGTAAAGTGGAGGGTAGTAAAATTAATTCACTTGAGTTCTACTCTTAGACTTAGCCTAATCTAGGTATTAACTGACGAATCATTGCTGCATCACCCACCCACCCAAAGATTAAAAAAGTAACCTCTTTCCCCGAGTGATCTGGAATAATTCTATGATTTAATTTCTCTGTTTAGTTTAGGAAGCCGGGATATGAACATAGTTCAGAAGGAGAGGGCAAATATAAAATTATGAGACATATTATTATAGGAGGCCCGAGAATATAATCAAGCTCTTGCACGTATGATCAAAATTTTTGCAAGTGAGTTATTTTAGTAACAAGGGACGATAACTCAGTCCAAAGTACAAACATATAAACAACATTATTTACACTACTTCATACCCTTCGTCCTTTCCTGATAAAGGTTCTGGTCTTTCTCTTACTGTAGACATATTTTCAGTCACGATTTTCTTTTTGCAATATCTTCAAAAAATTTATAAAGAACCCGCACTAAAGTGGGTATGTGTCTCCTCACCTGATGATTTAATCGGCGGTAACGGTTTTGGGCTGGGAACGAATTTGTTCCCAGTCGATAATAAGAATTCAATATGGCCGATTAAAATGGAAGACGAAAACTTGTCATTTGTTCTTTTGCGAAATCATCCTGAATTTCTGGAGGAGACGGCAATTTTATTGAATTCTGAATGGTCAAAAACTCTGGAAGGGAGGTAAGCAGTGAGTAAGATTTCCTTATTTTTGTAGGAAATAAAAGCTGAAAATGCTCACTTGGAGCAGGGATGTAAGTCACTCCTTTTCAGGTGAAGGGGTGGGGTGGAAGGGGACTTTTTTTTTCCCAAGCTATTTTCACGCATATTTGGTCCGAGAAACCTACAGACTTCCAAAATTTTACGTGAAATAGGGCTGGTTCCTAAGCATAAAAAATAGTAGAGAAATATTTACTTTGTACCAGAAGTTTTATTTATTTGTTAATTTTGTTTATTTCTTTTCCTCTTTTCCTTCATGGTTCTCTGCAATTTGTTAAGAATACTGTGCTTCAAAATGAGCTCATTATTGTCTTACTTTTATTTGCCTCATTTCTCAAACAATCCAGAGATATCAGTTTTGTACTACATTTTTTAATGTTACTGATAAGAAAT